AAAAGAAATAAAAATTAATCTAATTAAACACGAAAATGTTAAAATTTTCGTACCATTTTAGTTCAAACAATAGTCAACTTGGAAAATAATTACACATGTGGTTTAAATCTAACTATTCAATCTACTGCAAGCGATATAGTACCACAGATTATGCTTGCAAGCGGCGACGGTACGAAAGGTAGTTACTTTTTTTACCTACATTCTAAACAGCAAAGAACCATAGTAATGTGTATAAAACATGACTGGAAAATAGTGAAGTTGAAACCATTCATGTCATATATGCTTTTCTTTTCCAAATTTAGATTCATGCGACGATCAGCGCACACCAGTAACGTCGATCGAATCGTTACCTGAAGCTTCATTATCTGTTATCCGATATCTGTTAGAACAATGTGCAAATAAAATAGCAGAAACCAATGTAGAACAACTTGATGAACAGAAAATGGATGATGATCAAAAAACAACGTATCGTCGACAGCAAGAATTAGAAAGTAGTATTAATTATCGGAGTAATGAAGAACAGAGATCAAATGATAATAAACTACCGCCAGTGGCACTCTCCACCAAATTTGCATCCAATGAACAACATATAACAACAACACAAACGTCTCTTTCAGTATTAGCTGAAGATAAAATGAATGAGTTATGTCGTCGAATATTGTTAATTCCAAGCCCAATTGTAACATCTACTGCTTTTAATCGATATATTACAACTGCATCGGCTACACAATGTCATCAAGCAGCTAGATGTCTCATTGATGCCGGTCTATTATCATTACAATCACGTTTGGTGGCGAATAATACACAATATTGCGAAGTTTATTTAAAAGCTGTTCCATCATCATCACTCGAAATCCTTCCATTTATGAAACAACTGAATAAATTCAATATCGATGATATTAACGAATATCTGGCTACATTCAAAACGGTTGACACAAAGAACGCTACGTATTTGACAGAAGGTGGTTTCAGTCTTCTATCTACAGAACCATATGCCGCATACGTGATGGATATAGATAAGTTAAAAATCAAAACACCATCAAAAAAGACAACAGCAAGAATCTATTCAGGTAATAGTCAACGACCAAGCCAAATAAAATTACAACAGACACAAACACAATCGATTGGTAAGTGTTCTTATAACTCGATAGTTAAAAGTAAAACCATATCATGATCTGTATGTATTCTTGATCGTATCTATTTTAACTTTATTTAGTATTATCACCACAAATGGATGAGATTGACAAAATAAATCTTCAAGAAACAATAATTGCTGATTATCGATCAAAAAGAAAACGTTCAGCACACTCCTCATCAATTCAAACAAGATCAGCAACAAAAAAGCCAAGATTTTAAATGAAATAAATTGTTTTAATTGTCTAAATAGATTGAGATGTTTGTGTGTTTAATGTCTCATAGTTTTGGTTTTATTCTCTTCTTTTTCATACGAATAGTTAAAGTGAATTATTTTATTTAAATACGTTAGGCAATTTTTCTGGTATTCTTTTGGCTATTCGGCAACATTTCATTTTAAATAGAAATATTTATTTTGTTATTATTTATTGATATTATTATTAGTACACATATGTATATAAATATTTTATGTTTTTATTTCATA